TATGTAAATTACGGATCATAGTTGATTTGTGAGAAATAAGTTGTTAAACCATTTATTATGCCCAAAATAGTTTTCATCCCATATATAAGAAACGAAGGTTATTTGAAAATTTCACATATAGACTATTTTAATTCTCGAAGCCTAGATAAGTGACTAACAGGAAGTTAGTATATTTTTAATTTTAAGTAGATAAGATAGCATAGATTGAAAAAAGAAGAACCAGAAATTTGTTTGAAACTTAATAATTTGGATACTAATTTGGGATATATTTGTAGTAAAAAGAGATATTAAGAAAGGGTGCATCCGTTTTGGCCCAGCTATAGTTTTTCTTGAAGAATTTCAGTGTTTTCAGTTTACGTTCAGTAAACGTGGGTGAGATAAAGTTCCGAAGAATCGTGCGTGCTGAACTGTCACGCGTGCTGTCAGACTGGCTTTCTGTGATCACGGTTAGTCGTGCACGGCCGTTGCCAGGACCGCGCGTGTGCCCATGGATGCGAGCAGATCCAGGCGTGAGCCGCCGCCCTGCCCGCGCCTGCACCGCGGCCCACCGTGCGCTCCTTCCCCAGGTCATGCTGTGCGGCATGCAGGAGGTGGACCTGGCGGACTGGCAGAGAAACACCGTGTACCGGCATTACACGCGGAACAGCAAGCAGATCATTTGGTTCTGGCAGGTATTTGCTTTTATCTTTTTAGAGCAAAGTACTCCAAGAAAATGTTTCTAATGCAACTGTCATTTAAAACCAGTTCGTGTTTTAAATGGAGACTGCTTTGGGATGTGCTTTTTAGCTTTTGAATTTTAAGTCAGAAGTAGGAGTGTGAACGCCTGCCGAAGGCGTTTCCATTGCTTGTTTCCTAAATGAAAGGGTAAATGACCATCTTCTCTAAGCCACAGTTTAATGGTGATAGTTGTAAGTACAGCATTTTTTCTAGTATTATGAAAGTAGTCCACAAATTCTACTTAATTCTAGAAGTAAATGAGGAGGGAGTATGTTTTTAATGAGAAAATTAGTGCAGATACTTAATTCCTCTAAATGTGATAATATGCCAAGAAATTAGAAAAATTTAGAGGGTAATGTCCAAGAGTGACTTTATTTTCTTCTTTATTTTTTCTTTTCCGTCTTCTCTTCTCACCTTCCTTTCTCTCTCTCTCCTTTCTTTCTTTTCTTGGTGTTTATGTGTTTGAGAATTTAAAATCTCTGGGCCAGGGACATTCTCCACATAAATTTACTCATTGCAACTCATTTGAGCAACTTACTAACTGAACTTCTGGTTTACTCACACTTCCCTGTTTCAGGTGAAAAGCCTGGGTTTTTGTATTATTATAGAAAGGTTTTCCCAAAGTTGCACCTTCTCATAAGGATGTGTCATGTTTATTGCTCCATACTTTAAAGAAGTGTGGACACTTCTAGAAATGTATCTTTTAGGTACACTTCATATGTGCGAAATGGCCCATCCTGGAGTGTTTATCGCTGCATTATTGGTGCGCTAATGGACACTTGAAACACCTAAATGTCATGGGGTGGGGTGACTGAGTAAAGTGTCATATATCCATTCTGTAATTCTGTACCTTGTCATCATTCTTTTTTTTAACACAAATTAACAAAAATATTAGAGAAGAATGTTTTAGTATAATATTAAGAAGAAAAGGAAGGAGTGTGTAGTATGATGGTATTTGGTTAAAAGGAAAATACATATTGTGCACAAAGTCAGCTAGGGCACGAATGCAGCCTGGGGAGGGGACGGCGCGCTGGCAGCTGGCAGGGGAGCTGACAGCGGAGGCACCGTGCACGTGCGGACTGCCCTATTATAAAATAATAAACTAAAAGGCAGGAATGAGTCCACTTTCAAGCCTGAAACATCAGAACCGCCTCACAGAGCATGTGCAGGTGTCCGTAATCCTCCCTTGTAGGCTCTTGACCAGCATCCTTCCTCCTCGTGGTCCCCAATTTTCCATTTAGACGTTCGTGTCTGTATCCCTGCGGAGCAGAAGCTTTGGGTCGTGAAAATCCAAATGAATAGGTGTGTTTCTGAATTGGGTTTGTTTGAGGGAAAGTGGTGAGGTTATGCCAGACCTGATAATACGCTCTGTTTCTTTGTCTTGATGAAATAGGTGTGTCAGCACAGTTCTGGGCGGACACACTTTTGGTCGTGATCAGCACCACATTTTGTCTTGTCCTTAGCTCAAGTTTAGTCCCTGTTTTTAAGATACATTTCTACTCTCAGGCCTCCCTAAGTTCCTCACCTTCTGAGATACTCAGACCAATTCAGATCCGTATTTCACATTGTTGGTTTATGTCCCTCTTAGAAAAGAGATAGTCAGTGAACTACATATTTTTAGAAGAATGTGTACTTCAGGTTTTCAAGTCTGAAGAACAGAGTCGGGAAATGGTGTTTAGGGGAAGGAAATACCGCAGGCTACTGAGTGGCAGCTGGGAGCTGTCCGTTCCTCTCTGGCAGCTCACGGCGGTCAGGACGGCAGGGGCTAGAGCGCACCCAGGCCCGAGGGTCGGTGTTAGTTCTGCCACCTGTTAGCCGTTTGAGAGGGACACGCTATTTCACCTCCGGGCCTCCGTTTCCTTCCGTGAATGGTGGGGATGCTAACGACAGCCCCTGTCTCGCTGCTACTGTGAGGGCTGGATGCACAAGAAGCACATGGTGCAGTGCGTGGCGGGAGCCGTCCACGACGGCAGCTCTCGTTGTGCAGCCCGGCCACGTCTGCCCGGCTTCCCTCCTGACAGCCCGACCTCGGACAAGTGGCAGCCTTCCCAGGCCCCTGTTTCCTCTCTCAGATGCACTTACTGATGACGGTGGCCAGCCTATGTGTAATCCTGAGGAATCATGGAAGTACTTAGCGTGGTGCCCGGTCCTAAGAAATGATCAACGCAGCAGCCTCTTCTCATCACGTGTTTTACACCTAATTTCAGTGTTAAATTTCTTATTCTTCAAGTTAAATTCTTAATTTTTCTGGAAGAAATTTAAGAATAATTTAGGTCTCTACTGTTTTCATCATTGAAGATAATCTAGTGCGTATTTGATACTGAAGTAGATGTGATTTTGTTCCGCAGTTTGTGAAGGAGACGGACAACGAAGTAAGAATGCGGCTCCTGCAGTTCGTCACGGGCACCTGCCGTCTGCCGCTGGGGGGATTCGCCGAGCTCATGGGTAACCGGTCTCACTGCAGCTCCTCCCCACATAAGTTTGTGGTAATCGTGGCCTTTAGACACACAGCGGCTTGAACCTAAGAACTACGCTTCTGTGCTCTGTGGAGGGTGTCTGCCAGGAGACAGGCAGATTGATGGTTAATATCAAATACGTTTGTAAGACGAAAATGAAGTCCGCTCGCGTGGGCTGCCTGGCCTTGGCTCTGTGAGGGGGAGATTGTGCAGGGACAGCCGCCTTCCGCTTTGCAGTTCCCACTGCTGGGGCTCCGGCAGCCGTGAGCAGCAGCCCACGTTGTAGTTCATTCTGTGTCCTCTGTGTGACCGCGTGACATGTTCTCTTACTTGACTGTTTATCAAAACCAAAGTTTAAAGGATCAGATAAATTTTGTCTTATTTTCCTGGTTTAGGAAGTAATGGGCCTCAAAAATTTTGCATTGAAAAAGTTGGCAAAGACACTTGGTTACCAAGAAGCCACACATGGTAAGTTCAAGAATCTTAACTAGCTGGATGAAAGCCAGTTCTTTTTTTTCTTTTTTCTTTGTTTTACATAAGATGAACTATAATTATTTATTCATTAAAAGTAGTCAGAATTTCAATTTTGAGAACAGACTGATTAATATAGTATTCTATAACTGAAGACTTTAGAATGGTTTCTAGTTGGTTAATACAAATACTTAAGAAATGTGTCCACTGAGTCAACAAAAATAAGACTGAAGTGCTCCCTACTATTGACAAAGTTTGCGCTCCGTTGGGGAGGGGGACACAAATGACAAGCAGGTAAACAAATAACTATTTGCAAATTCTAGGAATCCTTCAGAGGAATTCAGGACAGCACTGTAATAATAGGTGCTCAGAGAGGTTTTTTGGAAAGAGTGATGTTGATAAGCAGCATGCGGTGGAAGAAAGGGGGAAGTGTGTTCCATGTACAGGGTCGTGTCCAAAGACCCTGAAGTAAGAAATAATTTTTCAAGAAAATAAAAGATGACGTCGTGTGAATGGAGAGGGATGATTAATAGAATTTGGAAACGTAGGCAGAGGCTACATTATGTAGAGCCTTATTGGCTATTATAAGGAATCTGATTCTAAGGGCAATTAGAAGACTTTGAAGAGTTTTGAATAGCAAATAAGATCCAGGAAAAGTCATTCCGGCAGCAGAGGGGAGAGTGAATGCAGGGAGGTGAGTTGCAGAACTGCTACAGTGTCCAGGCAGAGGATGGTGATGGCTTACAGCGAGGTGCACGGTTCTTTCAGGAGGTCAGAACTATTTTCATACCAAGCCATTTTTTGCCTTCTTACTGTTTTGACATTTGCACTGAAGGTGCCAGAGCAGTGGCGGGTAGAACTGTGGACGCAGCACAAGCCAAGGCAGTGGCAGCAAAGTGCAGTCTCTCTGTGTCTCTGCTCTTCAGTGCCGCACATCTGAAGCTCAGAGCACAAACAAAAACGAGGCGTATTGAAGGTTGTTCTCTATGAAGTAGTGAAAATTACTAACTTTATTAAACCTTGATGCTTCAAGTATGTAGCTGTTTAATATTCTGGACGACACAGTGGAAGTGTGCGCACAGCCCTCTACTGGTTGTCCTGAGGGGACGCCCTGAGGCAATTGTTTGAGTTGAAAGCTGAACAGCTTCCTTTTTTATGAAACTCTCTTTTTGAAAGAATGACAGACAAACTTGTTTATTCGGATTTAGGTATTAGGCAGACGTTTTCTTGAAAAATAATGAAGTGAGTTTTCACTTCAGGGGAAACAGCATTTGTTGGCAATGAGAAAAGTTGAGGTTTCATGCAAAAAGCAGAACTGTGGAAAGCTTGGATACGCCGTGATGAGCTTGACAGGCTCCCAAGGCTCTGCAGAGGAGACTGGTGGTGGTACTAGCAAATGTGACTTTCTTCAGCATCTGGAAATCCTCTAGAACTTAGTGAGCCGGTATTTCCAGATGACCAGTGCATCAGGTTACAGACTCACGTGTGGGTAAAACGTCCATTCAGAGTGCAGAATAAACCAGTGGATTTTACATGAGTACAAAGGTTCTTTGACATGACTTCAAAATCCATATTATGTGTAACCTTGTGAAATTTAGTACATTATCAAAGAATAATAATACCCACCATTATCTGAAAAAATGACTCAAGTCAACCTCTACTTGCTAACTGCATGTCTGTATGGGGACAGTTTTCATATACTTAACCCAAAACAATATAGTGTAGCAGAAAAAACACACACGTAGGTATCGGAATTCAGATGCCTGCTCTTCAGCCAGACATTAAAATGATTTGCAAAAATAGAAAACAAAGTTGCTCTGCACTACTTTTTCGAAGTCTTTTTTTTTCTTTAATAAAAATAAGATTATTTTATTTTAAAATAAACTTATTTTTAAGTTTGTTTTAACTTATGGTAAATATCAATGGATATGATTCACATGAAAAAAGGTTTTTTGCGCTTCTCAGTGTTTGTAGGTGTGAAAAGGGATCCTGTGACCAAAAACACTGGAGAACAGCAGCTTCAGCTGGTGAATCCAGCAGAGGCGGGATGGCCGAGGCAGGGGGCAGAGAGCTCATAACCAAAGGAAGTCATTCTTTAAGAAAGATGAAAACAATTGAGTTAAGGAACTGGCCTTTGATAAAAACAAGGACATTTCTTTTGTTTTCACAGAAGAGGAGGAAAAGCTGGGGGCAAACTACAGATAGGGTTTAGATTTTGTGAAGGGAAAATAGAGTTATCAACTGCTGGTTTCTTTTTTCGCAAGGAATAAGGTGAGGTCGCTGGCTAACAGTGAAGAAAGGACAGCCCTTTGAGGAGAAAGAAAGGGAGAGGTGTCAGGAAGCAGACGACTATTTACTAGAGAAACAGGGCTGCGAATGCTGGGCGGCATCGGGCCTAGCAGCTCCTCTGAAGCGACACTAATCTGTCTAGTTGTAGGGCCCCCCCCACAGGGATTTTCAACTGTTAAGGAACAAGGAACGAGAAAGAAGGTGGAATTCATTCAGAGTTTGAGTTTAAGTTCAACAAGGGAAACAGGATTTAAAAAGCTTGTGCAAGGTAGTGATTATAACAGTGGGCCACAACTCTAAAGTAGTTATAATGATGACTTTGGATGAAGTAAAAAGTGAAGATGAGGGGAGTGTGAGGATGAGATAGGATGGCGAGAAAGTAATGGGTTAACAGGTTGGCATTGGAATTGAAGTAAGTTGGGAAGAACAGATGGTCAGAGAATAGAGTATTTAAATTAGTAATTTCCTTTACGGGTGATGACAGGGTTCAAGGTACACCAGTGAGTGAAGTAGAGAAACAGGTCACTGAAGAAGGGCAAGAGCCCGAGGCCCTGGCATTGCAGGTCACGCACGTGGGTGGGGGAGGACTGAGAAGTGGGTGCCGGAGCTTTCAGTGGCTGCAGGGGCACGGTCAGCGACGACGGCGGAAGGAGGAAGTTTGCATAGCTCGACTGTGTCTGCCTGAGAGGAGGAAGTTGTGACTGGCTGCAGAGGCAATGGTATGTTTCAGACTAGCAGGGTTTCAGTTAAGACAAGAGAGGAATTGGTAAGACTAGAGAAGCCTGCAAATCATAAAGCAGGAGTTCAAACCAATGCATTGGAAAGTTCTGAGATGGCGGACTCAAGTGGGGATTTATTTTTAAAGGAGGCCCTGGGGATTGAACCCAGGACCTCGTGCACGCTAAGCACGCGCTCTACCACTGAGCTGTCCCCTCCCCCAGGTGGGACTTAAGTCAGATCAGAGGAAACAGAGTTGATCAGTACTGGGACGAGAATCTAGATGAAAACAGATGATCCAGAAAGACTTGAGTTTTCCAGCAGTGACTGTGGTGAGCAGGGCTGTAATCTGTCAGGGAAGCAGCGCTGACCGTTCTCAGGCTGGGCCATCCTGCTGTCCTCCCCAGGGCAGGGGGCGCCCGGCTCTGCACAGTGCTGTGGCAGGCCAGTAAGGCTCTGTCCCCTTAGAGCCCATGGGTGTGTTGGTGTCTTCCCTTTTTATATATAAAAAAGTAGAAGTAGCAAATTCTACTCAGAGCTGGAACTAAAAGGTAAAAAAAATTAAGACAGTACTGTGATATTCACATAGTAAGTACTCGAAGACGAACAGATTTTAGTATGTCTTTGTCCGTCTGTAAACCAGCACAAAACGTAATGGCTAAAGTCTTAGAACCTTGTTGTACATGTTTTCAAGTAGGCCTGTCCGTCATAATTTAGCACGTGCTAAAACAGAAATAAAAGAGTTTACAGAGAAGGGGAATCATTAAGTCTATAACTTGTTCAGGGAGAGGTCTTGGAGGAAGTTGTAGCGTTTGGATTGATTCTTAATAGCACTTCCATATACCACGAAAGGGCGTTCCAGAACGCAGGAGAGCCGTGAGAGCACGGGCACAGAACAGCCACGTGTGTGGTGTGCTTGGAGAGTATTAAGCAAGTTGATGGGGGCCGTGCCAGACAGCACAGGCTTCCTCCCCTCTGCCCCCGCCCCCACAGGGCCTGGGAGCCGCAGAGGTTTTTTCAAACTGGCGTGTCTTTTTTTAAAGGTACCTCTGGCAGCGATAAAAGACGAGACAGGCTGTGAAGTTTTTCCTTTTTTTTTTTTTTTAATTGGATGCAAGATCAGTCGGCAGGAAATTCTGATGGTCCAGATAAGAGCTGATGGGAAGGTACATACAGGAGACTATGGTAGCAGTAGAAACGACCAGGAGGGGGAAGATGGGGAGCTCAGTGGGTAGAATGGCAGGATCCGACGGGGGCAGGTGAATGGCTGTCTCAGTGCAGGGCTCTGTGGACAGTTTTCTCCTGACCTCCGCTCACTGTCAGACTGTGCCTTGAGGCATAGTTTCAAGGCAGGAAGGGGAGCTGGGGGTAGGGATGGGAAGATGTAGTCTGCTTGCTTAACCGTTACTGTTAATATATTTAACAACTTTTCATACAAAGAAGAAAATGGTCTGAGGAAAGCACCGTTTTAACCGGCTGCCTTGTTTCAAAAGGCTCTTGACTTCCGGCTCTTACATCCGAGTCGAGGCGAGGGCAGACGGGAGCGGTGGGCGTGCTGGAGGGGGACTGGACCACCTGTAGAAACCTTCCGCACGAGCAAGTGGGAAGTCCAGACAGGCTTTGGCTTCCTGAGAGCTGTCTGAGCACACACTGACAGAGGTGGGGCTGGGGGGCAAGCCCTGGACTCCCCTGTCCGAATTCACCCACGCAGGGCTGTATTGTAAAAAATGAAATGTTATTCCACACATTTGTAAATTGTAAAACACTGATAATTTAAGCATTTTCAGTATTTCCTGTATTTTGTTGGTTAATCCCATCAGGGAATTCTTTGAGTCTGGCAAAACTGAAAACGTATTATTTTAGAAATGGTTATACTTGATGAGATGATTTGAAAAGACAGAAGTACGCATTCAGTTACTGACTGTCTCCATCCTGGAATGTCAGCTCGATGAACGACAGGGTCTTCAGTTTTTTCATTGTATCACCAGCTCCTGGGAAAATACATGATAAATAAGATTCTCGGTAAATAACTGATGAATGAATGAACTGGGTGAGTGAGTGAAAGAAATGGACTCTTCAACCCAAGAGAAGTTAGGGAGACTCATGACACAATGTAACAATAATAGGTAAAGAGAAAAATTAGCGATTATTTTAAAATTTCAGCTTTTATCCGTAGTGCCACAATTATTTGTCATTCCAGTTTTCTCTGGGAAATGGTAAAATATTTTTATGAATAGGTCTTAAATGTGAATAGACTGCTATAAGAAAATGTGTACATTTAATATTATATTAACTAATAGCATAGTAGTAAATTATCTGTAGTAAATTGTGTTAGAATTCTTCCAACAAAATTTTTATGTTCTTCCTCTATGTGTTTAGTTTTTCAAATGTGCTTTAAAAAATACTGTATTAGAAATCTGTTCAGAGTTTGTTTTATTGAAAACACATTTGATTTTGTTTTTGTTTTTGTTCAGTTTTAATCGCTTGGATCTACCACCATATAAGAGTTATGAACAACTAAAGGAAAAACTTCTTTTTGCAATAGAAGAGACAGAGGGATTTGGACAAGAATGAATGTGGCTTCTTGTCTTGGAGGAGCTCTTGCATTTAAATGCCCCAGCCAAGAAAAATTGCACAGATAGTGTATATAAGCTGTTCATTCTGTACAGTGAATTTTCTGAACCTCTCAAAGTATAAATGTTTTCCGTTCTTCCACAGAAATATGCAAAACAGTTCATCCTTTTCTACTTTATTTATTGTTCCCTTGAAGTGACTGACCAGGAAAAAGATCATCCTTAAATTTTGAAGCAAGCAAGAGACTTTATTAAAAATAATAAGTATATATCTATATAAGCATATATGATAGTGGCTCTAGTTTTATAGAGCGCCAAGTGTATTAAACATGACAGCCGTTCATTCAAAAAAATAATCTGGATTTGCTTTACCTTGTTTCTGTTATCCAGGGGAAGAAGTTCAAGTTGCTCCATGTTTTTCTCCCTCACGTAACATCTCCTGAGGGTGTTTAGTTGCATGGCTGTGCAGGAAGGTATTAAGGGCTTAGGCCAAATCTTTGATATGTTTTAAAAAATGCTGCTGGCTTTTCTGAAGACAGGTGCTTGAACCTGTCGATTTGTTTTAAATAAATATAATAGTTGAAAATTTCCCTCTTTGCTACATCACTAATATAGTTAAAAAGTCATGAATGAAATTGTAACTTACATGGAAGTCATATACTAGATCCCGTGCCATGTAGTTTATCCTAGAAATTGGAGAGAATTCATTGAGCAGCTTAGGCGTTTGTTTACATGTGTCTTTGGGATGCTAGGTGTTCGTGGAATTAAAGAATCAGACATTTCTGTACTTTTGTTTTAAAAATCTGTGATGTTCTTTAAATTTAATTCATAATAAATTGATGCAGTTTGATACCTAGGAACATATAAAAAGGTAATGTGAACCTTTCTGCTTTTGTTTGTGTTAAAAGTTTTGGTTTTATAAAACCAGATGAAGACTTACGTAAGCATTTGAACACTCAAATAAGGCTAATGATTTTCTATTATTAGTGTTTAAATATCTTCATTGCTCTTAAATTCATGAAAATTCTATGTATCTGAATAGGTATGTAAAAAATATTTTGGTCCCTCCTTCCCCCTTTTTTACAGATTATTATTTTTGTCCTAAGTAAATAACACTGTTTTTCATTATCAAGGGCATTTGCTAAACTACAAAGATGTATAACAAATTAAAATCTGATGTGAATAATATCAGTGCTACTTTAGCAAACTGGGCTTCCTTATTAATACACAGATTTAAATTTCCATTTGTATCATTTCAATCACTGTAAATTTCATTAACTTAAAAATTTTTATAACCATAGAACTGACACCTTAAAATGTTATCTGTAACACATTTCACCAAGGACATTCAGAAGATATTAGTATACAATTTAATTTCCCTAAATAGTAGTTTTTGTTTTGCCAAAATTTTATTTTTCTACATATTTAGATTGTATTCTGCATTTCTATTCAAATTTCATAGTCAAGATGAAATAAAAGTCAGTGATCCACTTGGTTGAATAGACTCCTTTCCCAAATCCTAATTGCTGCTCTTCTAGTTATTCTGAAGCCTAAAGATTGAAAACAAAATAGAACCCTCATGTATATGACAGACTATGCAATAAAGGGTGACCAGGCCTCAAAAGGGCTACTTAAATTACACCACGCAGCCCGCACCACTGCGGGTGACTTCTGCTCTGACAGGGTCACTGTCATTCAGTGGAGGTGTGTGAGAACAGTGGTAGATTTGACTGAAGACAGGGTGCGGGTCCCCCGCTCCTCACTTCAGGTGAGAAATGACTGTACAGCATTGGCGGGGACACAGAGCTGCCTGCAGCGGGGCCGGACCAGCTTTCTGGAGAAGGCTAGTTTGGACGACTCATCAGGGCCTCGTCTTGCATGCCAGCTGTAGAACCCCGGCTGGCCGCAGGATGTACCGTCCTGATCTGCCCACG